GAACCAGGCGCCTCCTGGTGGAGGAAGGGAGACAAACACAAAACACAAACACACAGACAGGAGACCTGACAGATCAGGTCCTCCATAGAAAAAATATCCCACAGTCATAAGATAAAAGCCAAGCTTTGTGATTTAGTTTATTTAAATCTTTTTCTTTGAATAATTCAGGCTCATGTCTCTTCATGGTTGAGGATCAGACCAGGAGTGTTTAAAGCTGCATAAACTGGTTGGCCTTGATGCAAAAATTTTATATTTTTTAGCAAAAGACAGAAAGGCGACGAACTTGGTCTGTGTTGCAGAAAGAAGGATATTCTGCCCACAGTTTATACCATAGATCTATTGGTTTCAGCTCTTTCATATGATTATGAAAAGTACCTTAAAAAAACAATAATCTCAGTCATGCAAAAAAAAAAAATTCTTACAAGTTGTGAATATTTTGGATTGTGATGTTTTGGTCTTTTTCTGCTATTTTTCAGGTTCATCAAGAAAGTGGAACATTCCTGGAAGGCTCTTGTACACGATGGGGTCCGTTCGCAAACCTTTGCTTGTATTTTATTTGCCGAGTTAAATCATGCGTCTTTCTGACGTTTTCTTTGCTCCATTATAGGACACAGTATCGGTCCACAGGCCCGGCTTCTATGCAGATAGGTTTTTAAAATTCATGGGCACGACTGTATTCAAGAAGCTTCACCGTACGGTTACCTTTTATTAAGATTCTTTATTTCTTTACTCTGCATTAGGAGTCGGCTTAGATTTCATGAGTTCAATCTGTCTTTATATCAGCTATAAGAGGCGCATCTTCGAGGAGGAAAAGGAGTTCCCTCCATGCAGGCAAATCAGCTTCTCAGGAGTTTCTATCCATACAGAAGGAGAAGAAAGAGGAGAAGAAGGCTCAAAGCATGGATAACCTGGATGGGAACTGTAAGATGAACTTTAACCAGTAATATATATATATTATTATTTTTGTTTCCCTCCTTTCTAATTTGCAGTTTCATGTTTTGACAGTTTATAGTTCCTCCAAACATCCAGATCTTCTACCGAAATCTGCTCTGACTGGATCCATCCAAATCGATGGAGAGTACACTGAAAACAGGTACTTTGCTCGTGTCGTAAATCCTGCATCTTCACCACCGGTTATTTTTAACAGGAATGGAAAAAACTTTCATCTGGTTTCCTGATTAGACAGAAGACTGTTTAATTTAGCTGATGCGCTTCAATTTAATGATAACTTAGATAAAAACACCAGTTTAGTATTTTCCGATTTGTTCATTTTTGTAGAATTCAATCATATTTAAAAAAATAATGCATAGATTTATCTCTTTAGATCTAAAGTGTTGAAACTGTAAGGTGAACTATTATGCATATTGACTGTCCTGCATTAATATATTCCAGTGAAGATCGCCGCGACTCCAGTTCAACCTTAGCTCTGGATGATCCTCTGCCGTCTCTCAGCAGAAGCCAATCAGACTCTGACCTGGATGTTTACTTGGTACGAAAGTATTTTATTCACAACCACCTGCAAAATATTACCTAGTTCTTTACTGATTATAAACTCTATATCAACAAGTTTATTTGTAGAGCACAATTCATTACAAAGATAATTCAAAATCCTCTTAATTAAACAATAAAATAGAAGGAAAAAACAAAAGCAAGTAAAGATTAAAACATGATAAAAGCAGGTAGTAAAAAAGAATCTGTTTTAGAATCTGTAGCGTCTTTCAAAAACATTCATAAACTTGAATCTTTCCACCTGATGCATTAAAACCAGAACTCTGTGTGCATTTTCTTGGGATTTTATGTCATAAATGATCACAAAGAGAAATTTGTGGCCTTGTTGCAGCTAATCTATAAAGGATAGTCGGTGCAAAAGCAATTCTGACTGCTTTGTTTAAATAAAAAACTGGTATTATAAGGGAGTTAAAAGCATGAAGTTAGGGGTGATAATGATTATAATTATAAAAATAATAGTAACAACATTAATAACCTTTATATGTATTATTTAAAATATTAAATATATATATATAATAATTAAAGTTATGGTTAAAGGACTAAATGTCAATCATAAAACTTTGAGAAATGACCCTAAACAAACCAAGGGACGCCCATTTTGATAAAACAGAACATAACTGCTTCATACGGAAACCATGAAGAAAAATTAAGGGCAAATAAGTATAAATAGACTTGCTAAATATAAACCGCAGTTACAATCTTTGCGAGTTTTTTTTTTCTGTTCAGTTCTGATCTGTAAACTAAATGTATCTCTGGCAGCATGTTTATGGTAAGTTTAGGAAATGTAATCTCCATCCCCTGAAGGAAGCTCCATCTAGTTTCGCATACTGTCCCTGTTTAAAAGCAGCTCCCCCCACATCATGATGCTGCCTCCTCCGTGCTTCATGTTGGTGGTGTGTTCAGACTTTGTGTTTCCCAAAAAAACGACAATTTGGCCTCAGCTGTGAGAACACACCTGTTCAGTTTCCCACACGGTTTGTGGCGAATTGCAAAAAGCATCTCCTAGGTCATATTTGGAGTGTGGGATTCTTCTCTGACTCCTGCTCTCTTTCTCCAGCCTGTCAGTTTAGATGAACAGCCATGCCTTTGCAGCTCTTCAGCTGTTCATGCGCATTTTATAGAACGCCCAGAGCCTTCTCTGTCATTTCTCTGCTGGGTTCCTTGGTCTTCATGAGGCTGTTTGTTCAGCATTGTTCTCCAACAAAACCTCTGAGCCCTTCAGAGAACAGCTGCATTAACACTGAGGCTAAGTTACACACAGCTGGACTCTGTTTAGTCATAAGCTGACTTCTGGGGACGGCTGATTCTATTTCATTTTGGGACATGAAAACATTTTTTTGGAAAAGAATGAAATAAAAAACGAACAACCTTTCAGATTTCTCTCTACAAATCGGAATAACTTTTATTTGGCCTATGAAATAGAGCCCACCAAAGTTCAGGGAAATCTCCCTTTATTGTCCCACAGTGGGAAGGTCTTTCTTTAGTCGGTCCCCTTACGGAGAAATGGGTCGCCACACTGAGAGAGCAATCTGAGTTTAATCTCTCCAGGTCACAAACACCCTGCTCTCTAACCACATTTCAGGCTCTAACAGAGAGACGTGTGAAAAAAAAGTAAAGGTAGAAAAAACTTTTGCAATATTCTGTTGTGCATTGGGTCATAATTCTTCTTAACAGAGTAAAATCACATAAAAAAGAGCAAGATTCATATCAGCATTCAACGCAAACAAACCTTAATGTTCATCCACAGCTCTCAGTTTAGAATAGAAAATCCCCTTATTGTCTAACAATGGTGAAATTCTGGTGTTTACAGCTGCAAAAAGATTATACAAAAAAATGCACACAAATGTAGACCTAAGAAAAATGCATAAGAATAACATAATAGTGAAGAGTTGAAAGATAAACAATAAAACACTGTACTATAAAGTGTTTTAATGATATAAAACTGTGCACCTGTACAATAAATAACCAATATACGTTAATGGATGTTTGAAAATAGCAGCAACATCAGAGATGTGCAAAAAGACAGCAGCGTGTTCTTTAACTGACTAAGAAAGTGTGCAAAATCAGCATGAATGGAACAAATTATTGAGGTTGTTGGAAACGGTGATGGTTATAAAGTCTTCCAGCTGCTGGGAGGAAGGATCTGTGATAACGCTCCCTGGTGCATTTAAGGTGCAGCTGTCTGTCACTGAAGGAGCTGTCCAGTTCAGCACCAGCTTCATGCATGGAGTGGGAGACATTATCCAACAGATGTTAATTTAGTTAGGATCATTAAACACAAACAAACCTTAATGTTCATCCACAGCTCTCAGTTATGTTCAATCTGAGGCTGTAATATTAACCCTTTATAGGGAAAATTACTGTTTTTTTGATCACTTGAATACCCCTTAAAAATGGAGTCCTTAGTGAGGTCTAGGTGCACAAGATCTATATCCAGCCATTCAGCACAGATACTGCTATGTCTTATTTTGGCATTAGACCAATTAGACGATCCCTTTAATAATATATTACCTACTGTAAATCAAGTTTTAAAAAAATCACCAAGTCAAGAAAATAAAGGTAAAAATCTAATTCAAAAGTTAAAAAGTAAAGTTAAAAAGATAATAATCCTAGCTAACAATTATATTTAGGTTTATAAACTAAAAAATGTAAGTGCCAGTATCAGCATTTATGCCTCTAAGGTTATGTTCCACCAAAAAAAAAAAAGTGTTTCTTTTACTATCAGAGGGTTTTTTTCATGAATTTCTTATAGAAGGACTTTTGTAAATTTTTTTTAATATTTTGGGGCAAGTTGGCGTTTCTTGTTATTTACAAGAAACGCCAACTTGCCAACTCTGTTATTACATTGACATTAATTTCTTCCATCACAATATATATATATTTTAATGTTACAAAGGTAGTAAGGTCTAGTCCTGGATTCCAATAACACTATTGACTTGAAATTTAGATTTTCAAAGTATTTCACTGATTGCCCTATAAAGGGGTTAAGTAAAATCTACAAATACATATTTCAGTAGAATTGACACCATAAAATAAAAACAATTATATTCAGATGTTTCTGCAGCTTTTTAACAATGTTGAACTATGTTGAACGAATAAGGTTTAGTTTGGGGAGAAAACTAAACTAAAAAAGGAACTATTTCACTGAAGGGCAGAGCTTTCAGTTTTATAACTTTAATCATTTACCTGCCATTGCTGTCAATAATAAGGATCAATCATTCACACTTAAGGGCCAAGGTTTTATTGTAGACCGCTAACATAATTTGATTTACACAAATATTAGTTGCATAAATGCAGATTAGAAGAAGATTAACATTTTTCCGTCAGTTTTGTCCCTCTTAATCCACTTTGTCTCAGATTGCTTCATAGTTTTTCTTCCACTTAGCATAACTACACAGGTGGATAAAATTTTTGGTTGTTTAATGAAAGAAAAGAAGCATAACTTGAATAGTTTTTGTGACTTATTTGGAATTTGTTTTTCACTTGGATTTCTGAAAATCGAGCTTAAAAACATGAAATCTGCTTGTTTAAAAATAAATAAATATATAAATCAATTGATTTTCCTGTTCTAGATGATAAAAAATATGATATTATAATTATTGTGTTTTAGGCTAAACAGACTCAAAACCCACACTGGAAAAATTGAAATCTAGATAAGTCAATTTTTCTTAAATTAAGTGTGTTTGTTCTTGAATTTAGGAGGTAAGTGAGACTCTTTGCCAATGGATCAAGACAATTTACATTTATTTCAAGTGCATATTATCTAATAATCTTGTTTTAAGAGTAAAAATGCTAATTCCATTGGCAGATCATCTTATTTACCTACTCAAATTAAGGGTAAATACACTTAATTCAAGACACTTTTACTTATTTTCTAGATTGTTTTTGCCATGCAGGAGTCATTCTCTTATTTCTTAGGGGTTGTAAACTTTTCCGTTGTCTCTTTAATTTGTGAAACTAGCAGACAGACTGTCACCAACTCCTTTAAAACTGCCCAACCTCTTTACCTACATTCTAAGTCAGTTTTTATCTTTACAAAATGTGGCCTTGATACATTTTCAGCCTCACACAGACTCCCCCAGGCGACCCAGCTGGAGCTGATCACTCCTTTGTGTTGCAGCGTCCATAAAATGTAAGCATTATATCAAATATTACAACCATTCACTTTTATTTCTCTTCTCTCTTAAAACGGAGACACTGAGGGTCTTCTGGGGACTCGGTTTTTCCTTTCATCCGATGGCATTCTGGGACAAAAATAGAAGCATGTAGATTACACTCGGTGACTCATGACCCCTTGAGCTGAGCGATGTTACTGTTAAAGACATGACGTTATCTTCCTTCTTATCACGGTCATGCAATTTGTCTCGTAATTCAAAGACGTTCTCCTTTGATGGTGGTGGCTTCAGGGGACCAGAAAGTCTTGCTGTCTTCATCGTCCTGTGACCTCCACCCTTCTGTGACTCAGCTCCTTTTTTTTTACCCTTTCTACTCTCGGTCTGCCTCCAGCCTGAGAAAACCTGCGGGAATTCTCTTTTTTTTTTCTGAAAATCTTTTTTCTTACATAACCCTTAAATCCTCATTTGGGTTTATATGTTTTACAGGCCATGTTAAGCAATCCGGCTCTTTGGGAACCCTGCAGACTTTCCTGTTAATCTAATCTCAGAGGCGAAGGCTGAACACTATGGAAACCAACAAATGGAAAATAGATGCAAAGAGGAAATTTAGCCCAAAATTTGTCTTTTATACTCATCCTACTTCTCCTATACTGTCCTTATACCATGGCGTATTGATTAAGGTTTAAGTTAGACATTTAAAGCCAAGCCAAGGTGGGGTTTACATATGAAAGGTAGCATTTTTTAATTCTGAATAGCTAAAAGCTGTTATTAACCAACAAAAATCTGCTTCTGCAAATTAAAAAACAACTTAATGATCTCTAAGAAACATGATCCATTTAAAAATGTCAAATGAATATATTATTTTTTCTACACAATGCAGAAAATGCATTAATCTGACTAGAAAGATTTCAGAAACATAAAGTTATCTTCATTTTAAAACTACACTTTAAAAAAATAACTGAACTGATACCCAGGAGCTGTGTGAAAGAAAACAAACGTTGAGGAAGTCATCCAAAAGCAGGGAGATGTGGAAACCAGAAATATGAACCACTAGGGGGCGACATTGTACATAGGTTAATGAAAACTATTTATTTTGGGGTTTTGACTTAATTAATTCAAATTATTTGCAATAATTCCTTACAGAAAACATAGCAGTCAATAATTTAAGTGTGAAAAGTAACACCAACAAATGATAACCAAAATTTAATGATGCAAATTACATGTCCAGTTATGAGATAGGAGTCTTTGGGGTTTGGCAGATGGGAAGATATGTGTGAAATTTAGTAACTGCTTTGCCATTTTTATTTTTCCCATAAGGTATTTAATATATAACATGAAATGTGCATTTTTTTTTCCTTCCAGTGAGGAGGCACCTATATTTTTGTCAGACAACATGGAGATATCAGGACTTCACAGCTGTGCAAAAGACTACAGGCAGCAACATGCAGGTTCTCGCCTGCCATTATCACTCTGTGCCTCTCGTCTTCATTTCTGTATCACCATTAATGTACCAGATCACTGTAAACCCATCATTATCGTATTAATTGAAGGTGTTAGAGTTCTAGATGAGTGGTTTGAGAACCACTGTGCTGACAAGACAGAAAAAAAAACACTAAACTGTTTCTTCCATTTCTTTACTGTTTACTTTATTTGCAGTAAATATCTTAGCTTTACTTTGTTGTCCTTTGTTTAATATTCTTAGTTTTACTGTAGGTCTTCATCATTCTCAGCGGCTGGATCCCTGAGGACATAACTTTACTCTGTAGACATCATGTTCTAAGGTGTTCTGATGTTACCTCTTGTATCACAGTACAGGTTTGACTGTTGTGCATTGGTATGCAGCGTATTTCTACAAGGGGTTTTGCTCTCCTATAGGACCATGCAAACCTTTTGATAGCACTACATAATACAGAATAACTTTCCTGAACTTTAATATGCCCTGGCTGGAACTTATCACGTACTTTCCCAAACTTCCTTTAGCTATCTATCATGTACTTTATTGAAACATGCTAGTTGTTGACTTGGGAGTTTCCTGGAATTTACCAGGAACTGTCCTAGAGTGTTCTTTACGTGTCTCTCTTGTGTACTTCCATGAAAGCTTTCCAGGAACTTCAATTGGACATTTATGGAAACTAGTTGGTACTTGATTGAAACTGAATACATACTGGCCTCAACTCTCCTCAGAACCTTGAAGAAACATCCCTAAAGGCTTTCCAGTAACTTCTGAAGTTCATAAAATAAAATAATCACTGGCACTTTCTGGAACTTACCAGTAACCAGCCTGTCATTTTTTATTAATTTTAAAGGTACTGGCCTGGAATGTACTTGGAAGTAACCAGGCACTTCACTAAAACCCACCAGGTACTTCCATGGAAACTTTCCAGGAGGTTAACGAGGACATTCCTAGACACTACTAGATATTTTTGGGGAATTACCAGTTACTGGCCTTAAACATTCCTGTAATTTACTAGGCACTGTCTTTGGATATTTTCGGGACTATGAGGTGATCCAAAGAAAGTATCCTTTGATTTTTATGGGAGAATTCCTGAAAAATCTGGTAAATTCATTGAACTTCCAAGTTATTAGCCTTGAACTTAACAGTTACTGTCCTGGAACTTGAGCACAACATACAAGGTACTTCCTTGTAGGCTTTACTGTAACTTACAAGGTTATTTATTAAAAGTATTAAGTACTTACCTAAAACTCACCATTTATCGCCAATGGACTTTTCTGAAACTTACCAAGCACTGTCTTAAATGTTCTTGGAACTTTCCTAGAAAGTACCTTCAACTAGAAATTGACCAGATATATACCAGGAAAGCATCAAATATTTTAGTGGAACCTAAAGAAGGTGTTTGCCAAGATGTTACTATGAACCTTCCCAAAAGTTATGAGGTAAATCTTACCTAGAACTTACTAGAAACCCTTATTTTACCCAATTACAAAATGCTATCTGTAACTTTCCCATTATATATTATCTGCTTTTGTGTTTCTTATTTGTTTCCCTCATATAACGGACCCTATCATACAGAGAATTGTTTTCCAGTTTCTAATAAAGTTTCAGGAAACATACCTGTTAAGTTCCAAAGAAAGTATTGACTGTATCATGTAGTGCTTATAAGGTTATTTGATCTACAATTTCTTTATATTGTTCTTCAAAGTACCTACACTCTCTTGTAATCTTCTAATTTTTTATCAACATATATCCAGGCACTCTGATGGACTTTTAAACTTGTCCAGTTTTATTTAGTGCAGTTATCATCCTTTAGTGAGATTGTGGTTTCTAAGTACCTGTGTTGGTACTGAGTTGCTTATAAAGGAAGTCAAAAGAAATGCTGGTCTCAGTTATTTAAAATATAACTATTAAAGAACTTATAAGCACCTATTGACCAAAAGATGAACTGTTGAAGCGAATGTATGATTGTCTCAGAAGAAAAACAGGGATAAGTTATCTCTAATGTTGAAACGCGCACTGCAAAAACGAAGTAGAATAGGTAAAAAATTCCTAAATTAAGTGTATTCACTCTTAATTTGAGTAGGTAAATGAAGATAGTTTACCAATGGAATGAGTAATTTTACTCTTAAAATAAGATAATTAGATAATATGCACTTGAAATAAGAGAATGCAATTGTGTTTTCTTATTTTAAGTGTAAATTGTCTTGTTCCATTGGCAGAATGTCTCTCTTACCTCCTCAATTCAAGAACAAATGCACTTATTTTAAGAAAAAAATGACTTATCTAGATTTAGATTTTTTGCAGTGCGGATCTCAGACAGACCTATGAAAACCAGCCTTACTGTCTTCCAGGTCCACCTTTCAAAAGCGTTTGGATTGGTATAGTTTGTGACCAAGTTAACCATTGAGTAATAGTAATTCAACAGCTAATAAAAACATGTTTCTTTGCATATTGTGCCTTCAAACTCATATTCATTAATAGAGTGTTGTAAAAGTAATTAACTGACAGACAAATCATCCGTATTGTTTATCCTTTTTATTGCCACTATCACTTAGTTTTATGAGGGCATCCACATTGAATTATATGTTGGGTTAGGGGAGAATATTACTGCTTTCCCACTTCATATTTGAATCCATTTTCAAAGTTTTTTAATTTGGAGATTTTAACATTGTATTGAATAATGTATGCATATCTTTACAAAGCATAATTATTTACTAATAGTAGTATATCTGCCTGGAAGGAAAACATAAAGATTAAAAAATAATTAAAAACCTTAAATATATTAATTTTGTTCTGTTCTTTTCTTAGAAATAACTTGGCAATATTAGCCTATTAGCATGCTAAACATAAACAATGTAAACTACATTATTCTTGTTATTTGGTGAGCTTGGTCAAATTTATATAAAGCTGTATTTTGTTTATTGAAGCAGTTTTTACATATCCACATAAACACATTTAGGTCAAAAAAAGTTTTTTGTAGTAAAACGTAAGCAATAGCATGTTAGCATAGCATGCTACTAAGTTAGCTCCACCAGATAGAGGTTTTAATAAAGGTGTTTCTTTTTAGAATAATTCAATATTTTACACTCTAGTGAAAATATGATAAAAATGTCAGTTTTTGTATTTTCTGCAACATGTTTTACTTTTACAAACTTTACCAACTAAACAGAACACTTCAGTGTTTTACTTTGATTATTAAACCATTATCAAATTGTGCTGTTAAAAAAAACACGTCAGATACGCTCTAGTTTGATGCTATGTACAACATCTCTACATGTTGTCTTTTTTTGATTATATAACAATTTATTTTATTACTTTTGTTTAAAAAGAGTCCAATTTTATGTAAAAATTGTCTTTCTTTTCTGCTGTAGTCCATAACTGTACTTAAAACAAAAGTGTTCTTTGTGTGGATTTGAACCCTACAATTGTACATTTCTGGATAATAAATTAATATTTAAAGCTTATTTTGCTCTTTTGTGATTTTTTTTTTAATGTTAACTAAAAAGATTTTATGCAGGGGGATCTTTTATCGTATTTTTTGTAGAATATTTATGGATTTAAACCTGTATATCTACCAAAAACTACCTAGTAAATTGCTGAAACACTTGTTTTCAAGATTTATCTGCCTCGTGTTATTTTCTTATAAAGAGAATATTTTAGAGGACATTCAGAGCCGCCTCATGTCCTGCAGTGATAAACTGACCAGTGATAAGCCAGAGGGTCTTATCCTGAACAGGTCAAACCAGTTGAACCAGTTTCTTTAAAGCAACAAAACCATTTACCATGAGGAACAAACTGTTCCTTTTGAGGCCTAAAAGCAACAAAAGATCCACTGTCTTAGAGTAGAACATTGAATCCTTATAACCATTAAGAATAAGTGCCTGACGGAGACGAGTTTGGACAATGTCCTTTCTTTTTGCAGCTGCGAGCAACTCGTCCTGCCGCACCCTGAAGCCCCAGCAGCTTTCTGGTTTAGTTTATTCTATGTTTTTCTTTTATCAGCTTGAAGAACAGTTTGGACAAACAGCAACGGTCTTCCCAGTATCATGAAAACATCCTCAGTGCCTCAGATGCTGACGAAAACCTTCACAGGAAAAGGAGGCGGCTCAGCTCCTTCCTGTTCAGAGCTACAGCGTTCCTGCTCCAATTCAGCTTCCTGTCAAAGTATTTATGCTCCTGTATCTTTTCCTTGATCTGGTCCTCCAGGGAATGAGGCGTGGCAACGCTCCCTGACCTCCTGAGGCCCACAACTACTTTGCTGATTTTGTTGATGCTGCATGCATTTTCTTCTTAGCAGTTTCACTAACAGAAGCAAAGAGAAGCTAAATGCACACTGGAAAAACAATCTAGAAATAAGTAAAAATGTCTTAAATTCATGTATTCACCCTTAATTTCAGTAGGTAAATGAGATAGTTTGCCAAAGGAATGAGTATTTTTACTCTTATAATACGAAAATTATATAAAACGTACTTGAAATAAGACAATGCATTTGTGTTTTCTTATTTTAAGTCTAAATTATATTGTTCGATTAGCAAAATGTTTCTTTTACCTCCTCAATACAAGAACAAATGCACTTATTTTAAGAAAAAATAACTTGTCTAGATTTCGATTTTTTCCAGTGCAGCATGTTTTCAGAGCACCTGGATATATAATCATGTAGTAATACCACTGGAAATTGTCAAAAGTCATCCATCCATGTAAATTCTAAAATATTCCCAGATGCATAGTTTCTTTCTCCATCCTTTTGGGTCTTTCCTTCAATTTTAATGGATCCTCTAAATGGAGAACTAAACTTCATGCTTGAACCACTTTCAGTGACTCCTGTTGATGCAGAGAAACTACTTTTATTTTTTTTTTATCTGTCTACCGTTTATCTGTAAGGGAATGCTACATTCCTATATCTAGGAAGCTCTGGATCCGTTTCAATATCGCTGCTGTATGAAAAAACAAACAATAAAGAGTGTAAAGACAAATTAAAAAAGGTGAAGCAGTCCTCCTTTGTACCCAAAAATAAGTATGATGAGAGACTTGTGCAATAAGAAACAGGATTTTAATTTCCTATAGTGAATCTGTGAGTATGCTAAATGAAAACATTCAGAAAATAAATGTCAAGAAATTAAATTTATTTGCTTTGAGACTCTTTCACTTTCAGTTTTAGAATTTAATTTCAATTCTAAAATTCACCGTTTTTGTTGTCACATATTTGTGTCCTTAGTAGTTAAACACAGATTGACATTGTGTCTATGGTGAAGCTACGCGACTTGACCTGCAGATATGGACACAGGAAGTTTGTCGATGCCCTGAATTATGTCAAATGATTAGCAGCAAAGCTCTCAGTCTATTTCCTGCATAAGAAGTATCTGGTAAACAAATGACACTCTAACTGTAATTACAAAAAAGTTGAAAAACCTTTTAAATTAAAAAATTTTAAGTGATGGGAAGCGAAACGTCTTCATACTTGTCCAGTCCAGTGGATTGTGTTTTTTTTTATATATAACTTTTTTGGAATGACTATGACCTGGATGAATGATGATCTTATCTTGATCCAGCTTACTAACTGTAATATCTAGTGTAACTGTGTGCAACAGGTCTTGTATTGTCAGTGTTCCCCTTATGGCTGCAGAAACTTCCTCCTAATGCTAAAGCAGCAGCTACTGCACATGTTACTGGAAAGGACAGTAACTTCTACTGTGCAGACAATAACATTTGTTTACCTGGTGCTCCTTATATATTTAGAGAATTTAATACAAACCTCAGAGTCTAAGTCTATACCTAAGAGATCTGCTGCCCGTTTCCTGGACTGGAAAAACGATCTAGAAATAAGTAAAAAATTTCTTAAATTAAGAGTATTTACCAGTGGCGGCTGGTGAAAAATATTTTTGGTGGGGCTGATATAGCCTAGTGTATGTCTCCAACTAATCCAGAATAAGAATTCATATAAACAATTGGACAATAAATACGATTTAACAGTAATGATTTCATTTACTATA